TCCCTGAGTATCCTTTTCTATTCCTTATTTGTGTTTTTTTTGTTAGAATATGGCAATATTCATGGCAATATCCAGGCTTTCACACAATAAGTCTTGAATGTACCCAGTTGACTCCTAAAGCACACTGTCAGTATTGCAATTAAGTATGTAAGTCTTCCATAAATTAAACAGAAAAAAGATAAGAAAAAAATAGCTCTCATTACGTCAAAAGATGCTATTAACAGCTACAATCTGCTACAAAGAATCTCACAAAGAATGAGAGTAGCCTGACTATTCTCAGCCTGGCATGATGGCACAATAACCGTAACAGTAGCATCACCATCCTTCCTCACAAGAGGTTTTCCTGATTCTCTGCCTTCTATTAGTAATTTGACAAGAGTTCAGTACCCTTTATATTTTTTTTTCTGGGAATGTTTGTAATTTGGAGCTACGTGGTTGAAAGGAGTCAGTCAATTCAAAAGTCTTTAGAAGAAAAAAAGACTATTACTTCTGAAAGACTGTTGTTCTAAGCTCAGCTACCCTTAACCAAAATGGGTCACTAGAGTAGTTCACAAAGGTAGTAGTTCTACAGGGTAAAGAAATGTTTAGCAAGTTACTTAGGTTTTTGATAAAAGTTTACAGAAAATATCTGATTTGTAGCCACCTTCTCGTAAGATATGTAGTGCCATATCTCTACTTGCTTCTATCAGTGTTTTATCATAGTCATAGATAAGGAAAACCAAAATCTACATATTTATAGTATTGTCATCCTCATACAGATCATGTTGGCTGCATGCCAGGTTTCATCACCAGGAAGTGACAGATACTGTTTTTTTAATGCAATGTTAGACTGAAAACAATTATCGATTTTGGATATATTAAATTATTTTAATTGTTTCCCAAATTTTCCCTCCTTGGCCATAAAAGCAGACAAGATAGGATATAAAGGTAACAGCACAAAAGCCTTAGGGAGATTGTCACAAAAAATCACTCTCTGCTATCTGTCTTGAAGCACGTCACTACCGTGTTTTTGTTCAGTCTATCAATGTTTTATTGTGGTCCTTATGGTATTTCATTTTGTCCGTCCTAAGTAATCAAATACGCGCAACTATTACATTTAGTTGAAAATCCTGTTGGTCCTGTCCCATCCGTATGCAGCCTGAATCCTAATGTTTGTTAGAATAGATGCTAAGCTGCTTCACTATTTCCTGGGCTTCGCTTATTCTGTGAAAAGGAATGTATTTCTGGCATAAAGTATAGTCATTAATACTGACCTATACTTTGTGCAATTATTTAACGCACTGTAATTTCACATGAATATACGGCAACTCTGAGACCAGATAAAGTTAACGTTCTCTTTTATTATGTGCCTAAATCAGACCCATTTTCTTACTTAAGAATTTGGAGGGAATTGTTCGTAGTAACAGGGAGTTTAAACATTTGTACCAGTAAGTAACCAGTACTGCATAGAGCAAATAATGATCTGTTCTATGAGCACAGAAAAATGTGTCGTTTTACACAGCTGTGTTTGCACTATGCACTCATCTCTTGCTACTTTGCCAAAAAAAAGAAATTAAAAAACAAACTTAATTTTGTCTGGCCTGCAGGTATTTACAGGATTAGTGCATTTATTTACTGCCTATACAGGTAAGTGGTGTCTCAAGTGTCAGGCCAATCAAAGATGCCACTTTGTTAAGAATTACGTTCCCCAGGTAATGTTGCTGTTCCACTCCATGTGCAATTACAGTATTTGTGCTGTTCTTAAGGCCTGTTCCCAGTAAGTGTCCCTTGTTTGTACTTTTTTCCCCCTTTTCTATAATTGCAATATTTAAATCACTTGTGATTTTTCTTCTTTGTCTGTTTGAACAGAGGGTTGCCCTGGCTTGTGCAACAGCAATGGGAGGTGCACGCTGGACCAGAACGGCTGGCACTGTGTCTGCCAGCCGGGATGGAGGGGAGCGGGCTGTGACGTAGCCATGGAAACTCTCTGCACTGACAGTAAGGACAACGAAGGAGGTAAGATGAACTGACCTGATCTTTAACACATGTTGAGGAACGGAGATTTTACTGTCAGGTGATTAAATACTGCTGTGAAACCGTACATGCATTTTTGCTAGCTCTTACACCTGTAAGAATACGCTGCGGTATTCAGTGCCTTTCTGTGGCCTATCAGCAAAGCCGTACAAGTGGCTTGTGACAGGTGAGATGTTTCCTTAAAAAATGATGGGTGTCACCTTAGTGTCCCTGCAATGCTCTTTTATACTGGAATAAAACAGTCTCAACTCAGTGAATTGTAGTGGAGGTGGAAAAAAAGAATGGAGTTCAAATGTGACCTCACAAGGAAATTATCCCAAGAGAAAAGGCTGAATGGGGAGTTTACATTTTGACCAATGATGCTGTTGCTGAGAACAATTGGTTGTCCAGTCCACAGAGATCTTATCCCTCCGTAGCCTGTGAATGCCTAGATAACTGATAGGACACTCCCAGAAGTCTTTTTTTTTGCTTGCTTTTCCGCAGTCTGTCATTCAGGTGACAGGTAACAATCTGCAGTGAGATGCAGGCATGACTGTTGACTTAAGGAATCAATCTGCAATCATCGTTGTAGAGTAGGGAAGATAGAGGGGCTGTGACTTTGGCATGACTCCAGAATCACACACAAAAAACCCACAAAAACAAGATTAAATATGAATGCAATCAAAAATTAGATCAGCATAATGCTTTTACTGTCTGTCTTTCTTCCCCTTGTCTCATCACCTCTTTTTGTTGAACACCTTCAGATTCAGAGCAGAGATAAGAAACTCCATTAGCGCTTCTGGATGATGATAAAGTCATCAGTGACTTTGTTTTTAGCTTCAGATTGCGTATGCCTTTGGCATTGCTGGTCGAGTGTCTGCTCTCATATCCTGATGGCAGTTGGGGTCTTAGACATTACAAACTAACAGCAGCATTTGCTTTCCAAGGAAATAAATATCACAGTTAAAACAGTGCTGTTGTTTGTTGCTTTATGTGTCATTCGATTTGTCATCCTTCCCCACTACCTGTTGTATGTTTTAAGTCAGTGTTAGGGGCCAGACACAAGCTGGTATACGCAATCTGAGCTTGTATGAGGCTGAATTTCTGCAGGTAGGAAAGGAGCAGGAGGAACGATTAGCCGTAGCATTTCCATGCTATTTGGAGAATTAAGTTCAGGTGAGCTGGGAGATTATGAACATATGGAAGAAAGAGAAACCTGCAAGCATGAAAAGAGACAAAGCAAGGAGGAGGGGAAAGTAGGTTAGAGCATAAACAACTTGGAGGAAAAAAAATAGATCAAGTAGAAGGGAAAAAGAGTGAAAAAAGGTTGAAAGCTCATTGATAGACTAAAACAAGTTCAGTAAATGTTAAAGATAATAGAAGCACGTGATATCAGAGTCAAGAGCAGATAACCAAGCAATGCAAGGAAGAGGAGCAAGGTGAACAGGAATGCATGTAACTGGAACAAGGGAAAAGAAGATGCTCCTTCAGACTGAAAATAATAATAACTATGTGGAAAAGGGGAAAATGAACAAGGAATTGGAGCAGCAGGATCTAACAGGATGACTTAAAGTTCAAGAAGAAAGAACAATACTTTTTTTTAAAGCCTTATGCTGGTATTTGACTGGGTTTTTTTCCTCTCAACTTTTTTCAGTATTTCCTTTACAGGCATTATGCAGCTATGTATGAGGGAGGGTTTGGCCTAACAGTCATTCTGCCATGATTGACTTATATAGTGCTATTTGTCACTGGCATTTCTCTTTCAGTGGACCTTATTTTAGTCTATATGCTTCAGTACAGAGGATCTTTGCTTCAGTCATTGACTAGTGGCTGAGGAAAAGGGTTAAAATATAACAAATTAAATTAAATTAAAGTAAGTTAAATTAAAACCTGGAAGCATACCAAACAAAACTGAGAAAAGAAAGTCATCTCCGCCAGAAATCCACCTGGAAAGAGAAGCAGTGTTTCTTCCCTTTCCAAGAGTATCTGCAATCAGCCCCTAATCTCTCGAGCAAGCCATTCCAATTCCAGACAGCTACAGGGAATGGCACGAGGATGCCTCCGCTGTATTTATTTACTGTGGGAGTTTAGGTTATCTGAACGCTTAGGCTGAATTTATACCATAACTACAGGTAGCCTGATTTACATTGCACTAGGCTCAGTGGTTATATAATTAAAGTTATCTTGGTTGTTAGCTAATTGATATGCTGTGGTTAATGTTTATGTTCCATCCTTACTGGCTAAAGTATACTTCCTATATTACTATGAGTATAATTCGTTAATACCAGTGTCTGCTGTTCCTTTGATTCTTAGCTCATTGTGGGAATGGTTGTTCATATTCTATGAACACAGGCATCCCAAGGATCTCAGTGGAAATATTCTCCATAGGAAATGCTTATGTTATCATGCCATATTTGATCATTTTCCTTCTAGATATTATTGTCGTATGACGGCATGATTATTACTCATCTTCCTTTTAATACAGGTTTCAGAGTTGCAGACCACCTCCTTTCTCTTTAAGTATCACTCTTTGTTTTTCCATAAGTTTGATTTGAATAATAAAATGTAGAATTCCTTTACATTTCAGCAACGCACAAGGAGTGTGTGTGCAACAAGCAGATGTTAGGCTGAATTAAACTCCTCATGGCTTTGTGGGGAGAGGGGAAGTCAACATCATCTGTAGATGAAAAAAGTGTAATTTCTTTACTTGGGAAAAAATGTGTCACTATAATACTTGAAGAAAGTGGGCCATGTGTTGTCATCACTGTAGGAAGAATAAGCTGTCAGCTCTTTAGTTTAGGCAGGTCTGTATTGAATAGATTCCTTTTTTAAATTTGCTTTTCATTATTTCCTATGCAATTATTAAGAGTAGTGACAGGTTTCCACCAGCAGGATTTAAGGTATTATTAATATTCTTTTATTACTAAAATGAAAATAAATACTGTAATAAAGCAAAGCATACCTAGCACAACTATATTTTTGAAATTATTTGCATAGGATAAGATAGCCTGCTCCTAATAAGGTCACAGAGTAATACAAATTCAGTCTAAAGACTACCTAAACCAGAGCCTCTTCTCTGATAACACCCAATAGCAAATGCATAGCAAAATCATATAATAGAAAAAATGTGAACTTACTTTGTGTGTGTGTGTGTGTACTAGCAGACTGCTAATCAAGGTAGGAAATTACTGCCACAGAATGTTCTGAATGTCAGAATAGCTGCAAAATACAAAGATGATCTAAGCTTGGGAAACTTCAAAAAGTTTGTACTTCAGTTAGGACTGATAGAGTGACATATTCTCGGGTTTGTGCTCCAATACTTCCCATTATTCTTCAGCTTTTTGTTTGCATCTGTGTTTGGTGGGGAGTGCTGCAGTGACAGATTGATAGCACTTACCCATGGTGACTCCAGATTTTCTTTTCTGGAGTGACAGCTCATTTAGACACCAAAACTTCATATTTTAGGCTTATTCAAATTAAATTTGAGTACACTAAAGGTATGCTTATAGAGATACTGCAACAGTAATGTTGAACAAGGTCCTTGTGTGCTTCTCAACAATAAATCAAGGGCTATTGCTATTTTGGTGGCTTCTCCGACCACTGCTCCTCCAGGCAGTCATTTTTGATATCTGTAGTTCAGTCCGTTGGTTACAGCCTGTTGTAAAATTTAGCTGTGTGAGGATAGCTGAGGTTTGTTAATACAGTTTTCTGTCCTTTCCAGCCTCTTTCCTTTGTGTGTCACAGTCACCAAAGCTGTCCTGGTGGGATAGCCAGCATCATAGCTCCAACAACTGTATTCTTCCTATGTAGACGCTGAATTTCACTTCATGGAGATTTTTTTGTTGCCTAAAAACATAATCAGTTTATTTACTAAGGATGTGATATATGTAGGTCCTTGGCCATGATCTCCCCTTGACACTAGCAGAACTTATGCCCAGGACTTATTTTGTCTCTCTATTTTGCTTCCTTCCGGCAATTTTATACGCACACTTTAAAATGCCGTTCAAAAGCAAATGCACCCACTGTTACATCTTACTTTTTTAGACTTCCGTAAGTGTGGGAATCCTCTGTCTTGACTCCTCTCATTTAATGTTTTGAGGATTTTATTAGTCATTCCAAATAATCAATCTTATCACCAGACCATGCTTCATTGCAATTCTCTGCATTTTGTAACAAAGGGAAAATAATATTAGTTGAGGTTTTTATAGCTAGACTTTAGCTTTTGAGGAAGAAAACAATAATATAGTCATTACATTTTCCATATATAGAAGAACTATTTATATCTATAGCAAATAAATACAAAATAGCCATTTGAGACTGATAATGATTGTCCAGCTGGCTACAGGAGTTTCTATTTTCTTTACAATTTCACTATCATATTTGAGTCATATAACTGATAAGCCAGTGTTGAGCTGTCCCATATTTTTCAGGCTAAACAAAATTCATCAGTAATTTTGCAGAGCCATTTTAGAAAGGAAATTTTACTCTACAAGAGAGTCCTCAACTTAGTGATACTAGATAGCTCAAGCTACGTAAGTAAAGAGAAAGAATGAAAAATGTTTTCTCAAGTTATAAGGAGCCAGATTCATAACCATCCGTCACTTGCCTGGGCAAGTTGTTGATAAACTCCACAGAAAAATAACAAACAGCGTATCCCTGTATCTTGCCTGGTGAAAATGAGATTCTTTCTCTGATTGATGTTAGTGGAGAGACTTGTAAAAATGCATTTCCAGCTGATTAGTTCAGAAGGTGTCAATTTCATGCAGTTTTATGACCCGCAGACTATACTCCAGATGTACATTTGCTTTTTATAAACTAACAAAGATGAATGATGAAATCTGAGCATTTCTTTGGCAACTGCACCAGATACTGCCTGGGAGACCATGCAGAGATATAAAACCCCAAAACTATGCTTTTAACCACCAGTACACCCAGCTTTGACACTGATCCAAGCTTCTAGAGTTAAAACCAGCAAGGGACATCAGTACTTTGGCTAGGAAAGGATTTCACATTGTGTGAGAATGAGACTAGAATATCACAGGTTATGTGGGGCTAGAAGCGTCTCTCGAAATTATTTAGTCCCAGCCCCTCCTCAAAGGAGGGTCAATTAGGGCAGGTCATTCAGGGCCATGTCCACTTGGGTTTGAATATCTCCAAGGATGGAGACTCCACAACTTCCTTGGGCAACCTGTCTGACCACTTCAACAGTAAAAGAAGTTTTTCTGATGTTTAGACAGAATTTCCTGTGTTTCAGTGTCTGCCCATTGTCTCTTGTCCTTTTGCTGGGCACTGCTGAAAGGTGGTCCTTTTTATGCCCTCCCACTGGCTGGCTGTACACACTGATGAGACTCCCCACCTGAGCCTTCTCTTCTCCAGGCTAAACAGTCTTGGCTCTTTCAGCCTGTGCTCATAGGAGAGGTATGTTAAGGTCTTAGCCATCTTCTTGGCCCTTCACTGAGCTTTCTCCTGTATGTCCATGTCTCTCTTGCACTGGAAAGCCCAGCCTGCACACAACATTCCAGGTGTGAGCTCACCAGGGCTGAGTAGAAGGGAAGGATCATCTCCGCTGACCTGCTGGCAACACCTACTGATGCAGCCCAGGATGTCACTGGTGCCTTCTTTGTCACAAGGGCTGGCTCATGTTCAGTTTGGTGTACACCAGGACTACTAAGGTCTTCTCCATAAAGCTGCCTTGCAGCTGTTTTTCCCTCAGCACATACTGGTGCATGGGGTTGTTCTCCCCCAGGTGCAAGACTTCTCACTTCTCTTTGTTGAATTGCAGGACGTTGATGTCGGCACACTTTCCAGTCTGTTGAAGTCTATCTGAATGGCAACACAGCCCTCTGGTGTGTCTTCCTCCCAGGAAAAATCAGTGTTCTTTCTTTTCTCTTAAAAAAGTTTAAACTGAGGTACACTTAATGATGACTTTTTCATCCCTTTTATTTTGCCTGAACTGACTTCAGTGTCAGCTGAGTTAAATAAGAATTTCAGATGTGCCGAAGAATAGAAAACCCCATCTTGCACTAGTTTGCCAATCCTCTAACTGATCCACATAGCGCAGCAATCCTTAGAGGTCTACCTTTTGAAGATCTGTTTACTTACGCTCTTTCAACATATGAATGAAGAAAAATAGATGATATTTTTCCCTTCAGAAGGAAGTTTTACTCTAAATCTAGATTCTTTTGTGAGGGAAGCAGTCGTGGGCTTCTTCCGAGTACTGCATTGGTAGATTTTTCATTCTGGTGCAGCATGCAAGCTCCCCCTCTAATCTAAATGGAATAATAAAATGTTTGAGCTATTTCAGTCTTGCTGTTCTTTTGGGGAAACAATTATCAGCCATGTGATATCATATTACATTCATCTAGGAATTTTCTGTAGCTGACATTTCCAGGCTCATTTTCCTTACGACTTTACTTACAGCAAATTAGTAGTTATCAATTTGATCTTGATTTTAATCTTTCTCCAAATTAGATTTCCAGTGATGTGACAGATATAATACTCATTATATGTGAATTTTTCAGCACATAAGCATAAAAGCACCCATGTGTTTAAATCTTGTTTATACTGGCCAGTATTCCTCATCAGTTTATTCAGAATAAAATCTAAATGTTAAATACAGATTTTGTTCTCTCATACATTTTCAAAATAGTTGTGGAAATTGCCTTTGCCACTAGCAACAAAATCTTTCTGCCAAGGTATAAAGGAATCCACCTTGATAAATGTTGTGAAATATTTAAAGCTACTCGCAGCATAGATATGCTAAAAAACTTCAGGAAAACAGCCGAGTGGGAGTTACTTGTTTCTTTTCTTTAGCAAGCCAAATAACCTCAGATAAAAGCCACTTAGACCCACCTAGAATGTTTAATATTTGTGAGTTAACAGTGTATGCAGAGCCTGAGTGCTTTCATTTTCTGGTTTGTTCAACATGTTTTTAGAAAAGTATCAAATAAATAGGTTTAATTTATCCACGGCATCGAGTGTATTCAGCTTGCATGGATTTCCATGGGAGTTTAAGTACTTAGTGGAAACAAATTCCTTCCTTAAGTGAAAGTGAATGCATTAAAATCTCAGTTATTGGTATTCTTTCATACTATGTAATTTTTTTAATCTTTCTGCTGGCTGGCTCATTCACATGCAAAGGGGCAGGAGGAAGAGTTTGTTCACTTGTATGAATTTCTGCCAACAGATGGGCTAGTGGACTGTATGGATCCTGACTGCTGTTTGCAGAGTTCTTGCCAAAACCAGCCTTATTGTCGTGGACTACCTGATCCCCAAGATATTATTAGCCAAAGCCAACAGTCGCCATCTCAGCAAGCTGCCAAAGCATTTTATGACCGGATCAGTTTTCTCATTGGAGCAGACAGCACTCATGTCATACCTGGGGAAAGTCCTTTTAATAAGAGGTGAGCGTGACGCATCATTTACTTGTGAACATGAAAGAACTTGAAGAATTCATGAGATTCATGTGTAGGTGAAGATCTGCTGTGGCTTCAAATTTCATGGCATGGACTTTCAACAGAGACCTTTTCTCATAATATATCAAACTGCTTATTTTGTATAATTTCCTGCAAAATTCAAATTGCCAGTGCCAGTAGGTTACAGAAAGTGCTTTCCATGCTTAGTACCTGCATTCTAACAGGGCACTTCGTTAATGATTAAATAAATCTCTATTTAACCAGTTGATTTGGACTAGCACAGTTGGAAATACATCAGAGCAATGAAAACACTTCAGAAGGAAAAGCAAAGCTGCACTTTTTAAACTGAGCTCACTAAATAATATAAATTATGAATTAATGTAATAGAACTGTTAAGTGCACGACAGTATAATTGCAAAAACTATTTGACTGGAGCTCTACAAGGCAATAATGACGTGAAAATAAACCAGTAACAGGAAACAGGTGTCAGGGATCTCACTGAGTGAAAGAAGGTGATTTACACTACAACTACTGCGTTTGCAGTAATTTAACAGCATTAATGTGTTTGGGCACAGCAGTAGATTAAAAGTTGTTGCACAAATGTTCCTTATTGCTCTTTTAAATTTTGTACTTCATAGTCCCTGCAGTTTTACAGTTTGCTTTGATACTAATTGAAAAGTACGTTGTTCTTTAAGAGTCTGCCAGAGGTAAGACTTACAGTGGGAACATGTAGAGTTTACAAGTTCTTCAAATTCTTCGGTGAATTACTGGTCGTAGTACAGACAAAATGAACTAAAGTAAAATCAACAGTACTGAAACAAAATTACCGTCTGTAGATTTCGAGGCATTTGTTTATACAGTGTAAATTAGGTGAACTTGTAAAAGTGTTAAAAGTCTCAGGAATGTTTTTCTAATGATAGCTGATACTGTGTAAAGATGTGTTTGTTTGTGCCTGTGTGCTCTGCTAGCTTTTATTCATTCAAAAGAGAATGACAAAAGCAAATTTTTAATTTGATCCTGCATCTTTTTCACAGTCTTGCATCTGTCATAAGGGGCCAAGTATTAACTGCTGATGCAACGCCACTCATTGGAGTCAACGTCTCCTTTCTACACTATCCAGACTATGGATATACAATCACTCGCCAAGATGGAATGTAAGTTCCTTTTCCAGTACTTTTAAGCCATGAAGACAGAAAAGGCATTACTGAAGAGCTCCTTGTAAAAATAACATAATAATAAAGTAATGGAAGCAAAAGACATGAAAAAAGTGATTGGCGAAAGTTGTGCTTTTTACACTCTTCAAAGGTTAAACATGCTGATTATATACTTTAGAAGAAGAAGGGCTTGCTTAATTTAAACACAGCGTCCCAAACTCTCCATTCCCATAGTGCAGTAGTATGTAGTATAGTTTAATTGATTCCTCCATTGTTCCCAGCAGAGCCATTCTGCTTTCAGAGCAGTACAATGGAATGAAGAATCAACCCATAAAATAGAAGTTGTGGATGACTTTGGGAATTTGCTGACTAGCTAGCCCTGTTGGTTTTTTCTAGGTTCGACTTGGTAGCCAATGGTGGTGCCTCTCTGACACTGGTGTTTGAGCGATCACCGTTCCTGACACAGTATCACACAGTATGGATTCCCTGGAATGTGTTTTATGTCATGGATACTCTGGTCATGAAGAAGGAAGAGAATGACATTCCTAGTTGTGATCTGAGTGGATTTGTAAGGCCAAACCCTGTAATCGTGTCATCACCTTTATCTACCTTTTTTAGAATTTCTCCTGAAGATAGTCCTATCATCCCAGAGACACAGGTAAGGGATGCTTCAAATACATAGCATTTTGTGACAGGCTGGTATTAAGCAACCATAATGAAAAGAGTGCAAACTGCTGTTTAAAAAATAAATAATTCTGACTAACTGCTAGGAATTTGCAGAATTTTCAAACCATTTTATTCTATAGGATGATTTTTAAAATTTCATCTGAAAAAAAAAGGCAAGAAAACTTTTTATATTTGTTTGCATTGGTTAATTTACAGAACATCTTCAGCAATCAGGCACTGGCCCATCAAAGTGGACACTCTCTGGGACATCTCACTTTTCTGACTGCCCTCTTGCTAGAAGTGCAACTCGGAAATTGAAAGTGAAAGATGTTTTTCCACTATGTCTGAAAGACCCATACAGTTCAATTTAACTGTTTAGTCCAAATAAATCGCATGACACTCAGATTTTAATAACCTAAGAGAACTCTCTGTAGCACTGAGAACAGGCTTACAAATTAATAAGCATGTGTGCTAATCTACTTCCTTAGAATTTGTAATACTGAAAGTAAGATTTAACATCAAAATCTTGCTTTAAACAGAAAGACCTGTGGCTGGAATGTTTTTTCTCTGACACAGATGTATTAAATTCCTGCATCTCAAATAACTAAACACTAATATAGTCTTCCTCAGCTCTTGAAGCAGAATTGCATTTCAAGAAGTAACATTTATCTCATCTTTGATTTCTGATTAATTTTTTCCTGGTGAAACAGCACTTTCTGTCTCCCTTTTTCTCTCCCTCCTCTCTCTCTCGCCCCTTTTTCTGCCTCTCATTTCTCTCTTCTTTTCTCTCCCCTGCCTTCACAATGTCATAATTATATAGGGCACTCTTTTTCCCATTCACTAAGAATTGTCCTTGTCTCGTCAAGGGAAACATAGAAAATGTATTCAACTGTTTTCATGCAGAGCTCTTAAGGAAAGATCAAATCATTAAGCAATTCATGGCAGGAGCAGGTTTAAAGTAAAGATGTAAGGAAATTACTACTAAACGCTCATACAAATCTAGACTGTGCTAAATTGTTGCTTTTATCCTCACTATCATTTCTGTGCCTTTGATAGTTGCAAGTCAATTAAAAGAAAGTATTTGCAGAACACAGTCCACTGGAAAACAGCTCTGATTTACTTGTTTTGGCAACAGATGATAGATTCAGTTCCTGAAGTGATGGAAAATGGCTTAGAAAGATGGGGTATAAATCAAGAAAAAAGTAATAATAGAAGCATGTCAGAAAGTACATATTTTCAAAGAACACTTGTAATGTCTAGGTAAACAAGTCATTTCATGAGCAGTGGGACTAATGAAGTCTGTATTCCTGCTAATTCCCACCCATTGCTATAATTCCAGCTATCTGCCACATCCAGTCCTTCCCCCACTGACTGCATTCAGCCTTTTTCTCATGGGACTACCAACTTGGCTACATCTTCCCTCCTTGAACCCTTTCTTTTATAAATTCTAAAGAAATGAATTAACTTTAGAGATTTCACTGGTATTTCAAAAGTGATTGGAAGTGGCTACCAGGTTCAAAAGTAGTGAGGTGAGAGGACTGACTGTTGGGTCAAGTTGATTTCCTTAGAAAACCAGCCAGAAGGAAAGATCATATTCTCAACAGATCCTAGGCGGTTGGTTTTGATGGGTCATCTATGACAAGGTAAAAATAGTACTGTCATTCCAGATGCAGAAATCTGGTTCAGGTACAAAACATCAAGGAATGTTTTCTTCTATATTCTTTGCTCATCGCATGTGTAATCCCCTGCTTTGGCAAGTGGAAGCTGCACATCCATGCCTGGGATGTACCCCTTTAGGGTTAGGTTCCCCTCAGAAGTGTATAATGCTCAACAGTCTATCTCCAAAAAAAAATCACTGCTGTGATGAAAGGTAGGCAGAACCAGATTCAATTCAAAACTCTCTGTTCAGCTCTGAAGGAACTGCTGGAGATATTTTCATTAAAAAGGGACAAGGCCAATTTAAAGTGTGGGAGACTGGATGAAGGCACAGAGAAAGAAACCATTCCTCATGTTCCTTCAGTCAGTATTAGTCACCATGTTCGTGTGGTGTGACAGCACTCACTGTCACGTACTACAGGAGAAAATGGTGTGCTGCTGTAGTCATCATCCCTTGAAGTGCTTCATCATCCCTTAGAGATTATGCTTCCAAAAGAGTGTACTTAGCGGCTTATGAATCCCAAATTGATCAGAGAGGGAACTAAAGTCTGTACCAAAGAAGCAGCACAAAAGAAAATAGAAAAAAGAAGGCAAGCAAGGGAAAAGGGCAAATGCAGAGGGTAAAGAGGTGATGACAGACCGAGCAGATCAGTACTCAAATGGGATGATTATAAATAACATGTTAACTAAATTCAGGCTACTTAGGCCTGACTTTATCTAGTTCAATTGCAAGTTAGCATGCTCTGCCTAGACATAACTAGCTGAGATTAATCAGTCTGGAACAAGACAGTAAACTGCATGCAGATGTGGGAGATCAGGTTAAGCTGGAGCTGCTTATATCTGTTAGGTAACATTGCTGCAGTCTTTTCCCTAATGTAATAAATGTCTGCCTCATATTGCACTATGGTCTGGCAGAAACCCACATATGAGTCACAATGAGCAATTCTGAAATTGAGTTTTTGAGGCTTCCCTTCTCCTAAACTTCTATTATATGCTGTTACATACACTTGCAAGATGCCTTCTGCAAGTCCCAAGCAGCTTGTTTCCGTCACCTCGGATGTGTGGGAGAACAAAGACTGAAAAGTTTTCCTTCAAATTGAATGTTCAAGGTTGCCCGCTTTTATTTCTGCTCTCCTCTGACTCTCTCTCACTACTGGCAATACTATACAGCAGAAGTTGGCAAAATTTATTTACCCAGAAGAATTCAGGGTAAAATACAGGCCTCGGTGACTTTATAAAAATGATTGTTTGTAACTTCAGGGTGGCCAAATTTTCAGCAAAGAAGTTAACATATTTTGTCATTTAAACAGGCAATATAACAGGATGTTTAGATATTCTAGCCTTACATGGATGTCGCTTAGGTGAAATCTCCAGAACTTGAAGTTTGTACTGAAAACAAAATGGAGATAGCCCTTAGAGACAAATAACTCCATGTCCTTGTTTTTCAGCAGTTTTCTGGTTTTATTCTCTTTTGCTTTCAGTTTGAAACTTTATACACACCTCTTGATTTATTCTTTTATGGACTCATCTTTTGGGTTTCTAGACATATATGGCTTCTCTATGGTATCTCAGCAATTATTTTTTTTTTTTAAAAAAGTATTTTTTCCCCTCACTTTATATCATTAACTCAAGGTTATTTCTTTACAAATTCATTTAAGAGCTGCAATTCTAGGGGAAGTCCTTTTTTAAAAGCAAGAGATTTTTCCTTCTTGAAATGAGCAGTTTCAGCTTCTACTTAAAGAAGTATAATTTTAGTACTCACAGTATGTGTAACAGTAGTTGCCAATATCTACTTGTATCTAAAACTGCTGTCTTTACCCCTCTGAAACCAAGGTAATGTTACATTTTAATGCAGCAGTTCAGCTGTTAATTCTTGGCAAAGAACCTTTTTCTGACATTAGGATTAAAATTTGGACTCATTTGTGAAATTTATTCTTAAATCCTCTATTGAAGTTGCTTGTTTTGCCAAAAAAAAAATCATGGTGATACAGCAGGCATTTTTGCCCCCTAATTGAATTAAATTCTTTATTTGGGGTTCTTAATGCCATCAGAGCACGTCACTCGATTCATACTGCATTTCAGAGCAGGGAAACATTCGAGAGCCTGCACTGCTTTAGTCCTGCTCTCCACAAGAGACGAGGAGCCCTGAACAATTTATGTGACTCAGTTGCCAGCTGGATCTCTTAGGACAACAAACTTGTCTTTGTGAAAATTGAGGTGACCCTTATCTCAGTCGTGTAGGTTAAATATTTCATAGCTGTCCTTCCGAGAAGCTTGATCATCCATAAATAAAATGTCAACCGTTAGAATTCAGTGGTTGGGCTATAACTTGGTCCCCTTAGGGCATCAGCCTTTCTGAAGGTGGTTTGAGACTCTATCTGGAAAAGGTAAAGCAGGGACAGCTTGGCTGCCTTGGCGATTCCTGGTGTGACTTTTATACCCAGTGACTTTCCTGATTGCTTTAAAATTGATGTGTTGTCATGGCTCCCGTAGGATGCTCTCTGCTGTGCCTGATGATTTAACTTTACGGATGAACGTTAAACTGTTTAATTCTCTTTGTAATGTGTGATTCGGGGAGAGAGATTGAGATGCATAACCTTAGCTTTACATTTCTAAGGTTCTCAAGAAAATGAGTTACTACAAAGGAGATTTTATGGAAAGAAAGAAGTTACAAGTCAGACTTCCAGCAGGTATTTGAGGCTTCTGCAGAAACTAATAATAGGGGTTCAGGTTTTGTTTTAAACCTCACTGAGAACTGCATGAGTGGCCTAGTTTCTAATTTGACAGTAATCCAAATACACAGTGGAATTTCTTGGAAATTGGAACTTCAAGGTGTCCTCTTTATTGCCTGTGATCTCAGCCAAGAGTACTGGAAGACCACCTAAGTGTTTAACGCTGCTTTTCCACAGTTGCAGTTGTAAAACAAGCAGTGGTCGTAACAGGAGACCAGTGAAGTCCATTAAGCTGTGTCCTATTACAAGTGTATTATTTCTTTTTCTCCTCTTGCTTACAGAGACCTCCATCTGTTAGACTAGTTTTAATGTGTGGTATATCAGAGTCCTGCTGATATCTTGAGGAGGAATTTGTCTTTTGTTCCTTGGTGGTTTGTGTTTTTCCTTCAAAGTCTTAGAAAAGGAGTATGTTCGCAATCACTTATCCCTCTAGAGAGAGGGCATTTTGTTTGTGTAGGAAAAATTTACTAGTTCTCTGGCTTAGATATTGTTCATATATTGGACTGAGGGAGGATTTACGAACAGAAATGATGTCACTCTCGCCTCCTTCCAAGTGATGGTACTGCTTCTCATTTCTTCTCAGTGACAGCAGGTTCTTGGTGGAGAAAAAAATAACATTTGAAGATTAAGAATCTAATTTGCCTAGTGTCTTCTAATTCCGCCTTAACTTCCTACAGCTCTATTACAGACTTACTGGAGAAGAAAAGTTGCATGCCTGTGTATATCAGATGTAAATAACCGTTTGTGCCAGAGGATAAGTTAAAATACGATTTCTTAATTTTTGTAATGTTATTGGGAAGGAGATAGATACCATTAATACCAGAGAAATCTTTCTTTATATCCCAGCAAAAGTGCTAACAGAGGATGATGTAGCACCTGTTACTCTCCTCAAGAGCATAAACCATATTATTTAACCCTAACAGACAGTTGTTTAAAAGCCATGTCCAAGGAGTTCTCTAAAAAAGACATCTAAATGAGCACTTCTTTAGTAGCCAGCTTTTGATCCCACTGCAGTCTCATGCCCAATACTTGTGACAGTGCTCTCCCTGAAGTCTGCTTTCTGCTAGTATTAATTAGTGTTTGGTCTTCAGACTTCAGCACTAGGAGACCGGAAAGTGAAATAAAGCTTTCCAAATTTACTTCTCCAAAAGTGCCTCTTTGACACCATGAAGGCTCCGGTCATGTGCTTCAGCATCCTTTGACCTCTCTTTCCACCAGAGAAACATTGTCTTTATAAATGCATCTAGATGCTTTTTTCTTCTTTTCTATTTTTTGTCGCATATCCTGGGATACTTGCTAGCTGTTCACCTGAAGTGCTTGTGTCCTGACTGAGGCATAGGACAATACAGACTGTCTTCATGCACATTACACAGAAACCTTTCACATCCATCCATCACCCACAAAAACTCTTCAGCTCAGAGGAAGAGAAAAGGGAGAGGCGGGGAGGAACCTTTTAAAAATAAAATTGAATCATTGCACCTCACTGAAATGAGAAAGTGGTGAGCTGATGTCTGAGTAGTGAATATTGATCAGGAAATATGGAAAAGCTTTCCCTGAGGCATCCTGCTTTCTATCTTTGAAATAGATGGAAGAATGCTCTAGTTTAAAGTATTTATCATCCACAGGTAATGCAAATAATAAACCACCTAGAAGTCCTTCCTGCTTCTACAGGAGCAATTAAACTTCTCAACCCAAATCTGAAGTTTTGTGGTGCTTAGAGGCTCTATTGCCTTTACTACATATGCACAGCTGGGACATGAGTGTCAGCATAAGGGGCTATTTTCACTGAGATGAAAGATGCTTTTTCACCCATTCTGGAAAAAACAGTTGGGAATATTTTCCTTCTGCATGCTTCCTTTCCCCACATAAAAACAAAGGAGAGGTCTTTGAAATCCTTCAACAGAAAGCATCAACTAAGCAGCTTCAGTATAACAAAGAATTTCAACTTCACTTTCCAGAAAATAAATGTGAGATGTTGTTGTTTATGTATTTTTTAATTATTATAGGAAAGCCAGGTTTAAAGGATACTTCCTAATGGACTGTCATGTAACAACATTCTAGACCTCCTTTTATCATAGCTGTGTTGTTCTGTTTAATTTCAAAATAATTAAAAGAATGTGATTTTTTTTTCTTACCAATGCATAGGTACTTCATGAAGAAACAACAATACCAGGAACCGATTTGAAGTTATCATACTTAAGCTCGAGGGCCGCAGGATATAAATCCGTTCTGAAGATTACTATGACCCAGTCTGTTATACCATTTAATTTAATGAAGGTTCATCTTATGGTGGCTGTGGTGGGAAGACTTTTTCAAAAATGGTTCCCTGCATCCCCAAATCTGGCTTACACTTTCATATGGGATAAGACTGATGCATACAACCAGAGAGTCTATGGATTGTCTGAAGCTGTTGGTATGTGTGTTACAGAGTCTTTTTGCATTTGTGTTTGTTCAAGACAACAATTACTGTTGTCTTGAAAATAAGGGAACACATCTCAAATATTTGTGTCCATTAAGTAGAAAATGGTTAGCAAAATAACATTGGATATTAAAATATTCTAGAAAATGTTAATCTACACTGACTTCTAAGAAAAAAAATTCCCTCAAAAGGAAAAAGAGACCATGGTCATTTTTGCTTCTAGTTCTTCCCTGTGAAGTAGCCCTCAGCCTGATAACACAGTATGGAATTTAGTCTGCATCCTTCTCATACTTTAGAGCAAAGCAGCATTCCAAAGTACTTCACAGAATGACTTTCCCCTGTACCTGTCCTAACTGACTTACTTTCAATAACAAAAATTATTTTAATAAGCCAGGATTGCCTTTTAAAGGATTTTGGAATTCCGTTTATTGTTTTTAATACATCCAAGGAAGCCACAGGGATTTTTCAAGTAGCCTGGGAAAGTGAAAGAATGTATGTAGTTCAAGGAAGTCACATTCTTTAAACTCTTCTTCTGAAAGAGATCCGATTCTGAATGAGGAAATTTGCTGTTATTTCAGTGTCTGTAGGTTATGAATATGAGTCTTGCTTGGATCTAACCCTCTGGGAAAAGCGAACTGCCGTTTTGCAAGGTTATGAACTGGATGCCTCCAACATGGGTGGCTGGACATTGGATAAACATCATGTGTTGGATGTTCAGAACGGTAAGGAGTTTCTTCTTGCTAATACCTAAAGCGTAGGGCAGTTGAGTATCCCATTCTAACTTTTCAAATGTTTGATTTGTTATTTTAAAAAAGGAGGTTATGAAATGTTTTCCATATGGTAAATGCTTGGAGATTTACAGTGCATGTCATGTTTCTTCATCCAATGAATACACATGCATTAATAATTTCATCTTAAAGTGTCAGCCTGTGTTTGATATGCTTACCATAAAAAAAAAACAACCCAAAGATGTTGAAATTGTTTTTAAAAATTGAGTGATGCTAAGGAGACGCTGTATCCAAAGCAAATGTAAGTGGCAGCGTTGTCATTGGGTTTAACTGCTTGTATGTTAACAGCATCTTGAACAGTGTTTTCACTTCCAGTTTTCACAATGAGTGAAAATTAAACAGCGGTAAGAAAGATTCCTGCCAAACGAAGAACTCTTCACTCCTAATATTAAACCCATACAGGAGATGTTCCTCGTCATGTCACAGTATCTCCACCCACAGCTGCTCGTGGGGTCAGTTAAGGCCCAGATCCCATCTCTTCAGGAGGATGAGCACTCATTTACCCTCCCGTTTAAATCCTTGCGCAGGATGCTGTGGTCAGCTCAGAACACAGCAGGTGACGAATGATGCTGCCTTGTGTCGGCGAGGGCACTTGTGCACCTCCTTTCAGGACAGAGTCTGAAAGACAGTCCTGAAAGTCTCACTAGTGAGGAAGTTTTCCTTAATTTCAGTGACAAGGTGAGGAACAAAACACATTTAGAAGAACTGTGCCTTGGCGCCAAGGTAAATTTGTCTGATGTGCTACTCAGGAGCTGTGTGGACGGTGCCATGCTAAGGAAACCCCAGCTCAACCCTAAAAAGGAGGAAATCTGGAAAAATCAGGCTGGAAGTGTGTAAGAAAGGTAAAATAAGCAGAGACACATGGCTCAAGGTGGAAGTTGGTTACACTGGGTTTTTATGCAAAGAAGTAATTCAGCAAGAAGAATGTCACTTCTGCAGTGCCTGGTGTCCCTTGGAGGTCTCCTGCTCGTACATGAGCTTATTTTGTGTGATACACTAATCACTACCTAAAGCATTGCTTCTGACTGGTAGAAAAACAAGGTAACCGAATCAAGGGAAAAGGTGTCATTGTACCTAATTTAAAATGTCAGAAAAAGCCCTGTGCAAATTATTGCAAGGTAATCCATCTAAAAGTGTAAAAAGCTATAATTATAAATACATACATGAGATTGATTCTGTTCACAAGGTAAATTGATAGCGGCTTTAAATTACGTTCAAGAGTACATTTGACAAGTAATGACTTTTCAAAGTGACATGCGTCTAATTGAATAAACGAAGTGGAGAGTTGTAATGACAAGGTGGATGAGCTGGAGAAATTTATTCAGAAGAGAGCGCAGACAGTGTTTGTACGGACATGCTGAGCTACTGCAGTAAATAGTCTAATGTACGTCTTTTAGTCTGTGATAATAGAGGAGAAATGTGAAGGACCAATTTTTCAAAGTAATGACAGAATAAATCAGGTGCAGTAGTGCACTGTGCTGACTTGTAGAATTCCTCTGATGAAAATTATAGAACTCAGCTATTTCAGGCAAAATTATGGTGCCATGATTGTCATAAATGATGTAATCATAGGAGAGGGGATTTCGTATACCGTTAATGCATTCTGGCTTTAACTATTCATGAAAAATACGTTCTACCTCTTTTGATTTAGATTACTTATTTAGATTACTTGCCATTAGGTTTCCATAAACCATTTTCATTCTTCCTGATTTTATCATGTATATTGGTTTTACGTTTATAATCTCCTAAATTTTATAACATTAAAAAGTGGTGAAGACACTTAAAACATTTAAAGTGGAAACCAAAGTATTTTTTCTCATATCTTTCAGTATAAAGGGTGCATTATGGGAGTGAGGAAAGAGGAATGCATCTTAAATTTCTTCTAAGCATCTCACAAGAGAAATGTATCCCTCGGCCCCAAACTGCCTTTGAAACTCTGAGCACGCGATCAATAAAACACGCCTCACTCTGAAGCACAAAGTGACATGTGGCTTACGTGGGTTATACCACAGAAAGACGTATTGTGACTTACGGGTGTAACTGTAATAGCTGACCATTTGCAGAGTGCGCCTCAATGGATTCATTGAGAGGTGGAATAATGAGGGTCCCGGCAACATTTTAACACATATAAAGTCCCACTTTTTTTCCTAAGACTGAAGATTTAGCATAAAGCCTGCATTTTTCTTCTCAGATTTCCTATGGAGGCTGTAAGGAAGAAAAATACTGCTGGCACATTGCTTTATCTTCACGAAATTATTGTTCCTTTCATGCCTCAAAGCAGAATTAAGTTTAAGCAGCAGGTTGGCCTGGCACCACATTTTTTTTTGCTGTTTTGACATTTTTAATAACTGCCTATAACTGCATACATGGTATCGAGGCAGACTTTGTTGCCAGAGGTACATTTTTGTTGTGAGAAGAGTAAAGAGTCTTTTATAATGTAAAATTGAGGTGATCTCCAACTTTTTGAAGTAGCTCTTAATATTTAAATTTTTCAAGAGTAATCCACTTCAGATTACATTTGACATCCTTTTCATAATTAGTTACAGTAGGACTTTAGGAATACAAGTTGCAAATAATTTTTTCTTTTTTATAATATGTGCACAGAATTTCATTCCTCTCTGAGGAATTTCAAAACTCTAAAGTTTTAGGAAAACAAACCTAGATTTCATCTAGCACACTTTGCATTTCCTTCAACATGCCAATTTTATTCTTATTTGTAACTATTAAAATTATTTTAAAATAATAACTTGTTTGGGTTTTAAATGCTAGTATATTTAGTGTTTCTACTACGTTTTGTGGACAAGGTAATGCTTTGTTTGTGAGTTAAATATAACTATACATGTTTTAATATAGTTCTGTTACTTTTAGTGAGAAAAATATGATGGTGAAACAACTGAAAGTCCATTAAATTCTATTAACCAACTAAGAGAATACTTAGGATACTTATACATAAATTTCTGTACATACATTCAAAGGTCTTTATAAACTATTTTTCTGTTTGTATTTGTCGGTTTGGTTTTTTTAATTATTTGCCAGGAATCCTCTACAAAGGAAATGGTGAAAATCAATTTATATCTCAGCAACCTCCAGTTGTCAGCAGCATTATGGGCAATGGAAGACGACGCAGCATCTCCTGTCCAAGTTGTAATGGTCAAGCTGATGGTAATAAATTACTGGCTCCGGTCGCCTTAGCTTGTGGCATAGATGGCAGTCTCTACGTGGGGGATTTCAACTATGTTCGGCGGATATTCCCATCTGGAAATGTAACTAGTGTTCTGGAGCTAAGGTACGGGGGTTTTCTCATCTCAGACTTTTGGAGTTCTGAATTACTGTTGCAAACTGAAATATGAAACAGGTTTCTGACACTGTGTAAGTTAAGAGTTTCCACATGCTTTTTGGGAACAAAAAACATTGAGTCAAAGCATTTTAAAACGTTTGAAAAAGTATGTAAAATTACAGGGAAAAAAATTGATCCTGGTAAAATATGTTAATGATGCGTATCGAGAATTTAATCTAACTGAAGTGATCATTCTGTTATGAAGAGTTAACCTGTGTAGTCCACATGAGTGCACAAAAGGCGATCATTCACCACTTCACTAATGACAGATGTAAATGTTGCCTTCTTTTCATCTTTTAACATCCTTTCTGAATGTTTTTCTAATGATGTTTTTCTGTTCTTTTTCACTTGCTCCCACCAAGAAATAAAGATTTTAGACATAGGTAAGCATTCCTTAAAGAAGATTTATATTTTTCTAACTGTTCCTTTTTCTTTTTAATAAATGAATGCTTATAATGGAGAACTCATTTCTGAGATATATTACTAGAAAAGAGGAGTATTTTTCAAAAATAATGAGTTCATATGTTTTAGTTATGTCAGCTGTCAGGCTGTATCGTCCTTTCGGATACAAGTTCCTCTTTTCTCATCACTCTCTGTCTGCAGTCAGGCTTCTTTTTATGCTTGTGTATGCCCTCCTTTCCTGTCCCCTCATCTCTGCTCACTCCTATTCCTTGCTGGCAGCACTTCTGCTGATCCTATCAAAACTCACTCATTAATCAGATACCGCAAATATGATGTTAGTGGCATATAAGTAATGAAATTATAGAGATATCAAGTGAGTTCATTTCATTAGCCTTTTGATGTTGAGTCTTTTCAGGCTCACATTTAACAGATTTGTTTCTTTAAAGGTGAACTTCTCTTAATAATGGAAGTTGAAATTGTCCCATAACAACGCAACTTCAGGAGTTCAGATTTTAAAGCACACTAGAATTCATACTACTGGTCATAAAAAAAAAATACCACACGACTAATCATAAAAGCAGTAATAATTAGAAGGGTTGTAGTACAATGTTCATCCATCCTGGCAACACTACAATAGTAGCAAGAACAGAAGAGAAGAAGGTAGATGCTTAAAATTGCTTTGCCACAGCAGCTAGTGCTGATAAGCAGATAAAAACAGAGTTATGCTAAAGTCTTACTGGGTACATGAAACTCTGCAAGACTTGTGGTGGAACTGCTTCAAATATGGCTTAGGAGCCCTACTGGTCCCTTTCTCTCCTTCTTTGCTGCGACTCATTTTCCTTCCTTGTTTTCGAACAAATCCCAGAGTCACATCTCAGTTCTTCTTTTGTTAAATTCACTTTACTTTGGACATACTTGTTTGTGCATAAGGATTTTATGTTTCAAATATGTTAGGCAAAAAATTCTGTTACTAAATAAGGTGTTCCCATCAGTGCTAACTGGAAGCTGATGCACAGTCTAGCTGGTTTTATTTTGTTTTCCAGATGTGACTCAGAGGCAGTCTTTTGTATTTGGTGGTTTTAGGTTTTCACTATTACATTTAGTTTGCATTTGTTCCACTACTTTTAAAAGAATTATATGCCTTGTGGCATCACAAAGTTGTGATTGCAGCTGGAAAAGGCATTGTCTTGGCAAATGTATGGAATATGGAATAATACTTAAAATGGGAACCTGGGATAGGCAAGCGGGATTAGGGAGTGGGTGCGTAACGGGGTTTGTTTTGCAGTGATTTGGTGGTGTTGCCCTCTCCTGTCTCTGGAACAACTGTGCTCACAGGCTTAGCTGCGGTGTTTCAGAAAACCCATCCCTGCATGTAAGAAAAGTTAGTGAGGGAGAACACTGAAGCTTTTCTCCTTTACTCATGCCTACACATGCAGAAGCTCTGGGTAGCAAAATTGCAACCCTACTGCACAAATTAGTGTAACAGCATTTCTGTTGGCCCATATAGTGGCAGCAAAGCGGGGGTTCCTCCTGAGACAGAAGGAGGTGTAGAGGGCTCTGGAAAACTGGCCCTGCAGGAGCAGTGGTGAGCAGGAGGTGTGGGGCCCACGGCGCAGCCTGACACAAGCTACTACGGGCTTGAGTTCTCTCTCCCACCATACAGCATTTTTCCCTCTTAGCCTTAGGGCTTTGCTGCTCAGGGCCTTCCTAAGCCAATCTTTGTGATTAATATGCCCTGGCGGCTTTTCACTCTATTAATTTAGCTGCTTTTTATTTAACACGTGTAAACTCAGGATACACCAAATCCTGTTGCTATCGGCTCCCCAGCTTAAGGACACACTGTGAGACAAAAAGCTGCTTTTGCCTGCATGAAGTCATGACAAGCCCTGTGAAGGAGAGGAAGGGCAAAATGTCCAGTTTCAGTGGCAAGCCCTTCAAACTTCTGAGGAAATTCCTGGAAATTTTCTAGAAATTTCTGGAAAACAACCCTCAACAGACCACTTTGCAGTATATAATTACTAGGTATCAAAACTAAGAAAATCCACTAAAATATGCATTCCCCAAGTAAAACTAATGAACGTGGCTAAATGCTAGTTCAGATCTATTATCTAGTGAGCACCCAACTTTCCTCCCCTATAAACAGTGCTTCAGCATAGAAGGTGATGTGCCTCACACCTCAAGGAGCCTGTACTTTAAATTAAGAGAGACAATGCAGATCAAATTTATCCTCTCATGTACCAGTGACCTAACATTTTTTCAATCTCAAAGCTAAACTGATGTCTTTATACACACTGCTGCCTGTGGGTGATTAATGCTGATAGGCATTCATGGAAGAAGTAATTTTTAGAAGGACTTTGAAGACAGGAAGGTCATTTGTAGGCTATGGTGGTATCCCAAGTCTGTACAGAGCCAGGAAAAAAAAGTTTTAGCAAAACATAAAACCTGCTTCGAAGTTGTATGGTTTAGAAGGCACAGAGTGAATGGAAAAGAGAGGGGGACTGAAGCAGGAAGAGGATTTCCACAGAATTTGTGCATGGAGAGCAATGCAGGTGATCTGCTGGAGAGGGTACAGAGGCGGGCTACCAAGCTGGTAAAGGGCTTAGAATACAGGTCTTAGGAGGAAAGGCTGAGGGGTCCAGGGTTGTTTATCCTAGAGAAGAGGAGATTGAGGGGAGACCTCATCGTTCTCTACAACTACCTGAAGGGAGGTTGTAGAGAGGCCGGGGTTGGTCTGTTCTCCCTTGTGGAGAGTGATAGGACGAGGGGAAATGGATTTAAATTGCACTAGGGGAGGTTCAGGTTAGATATTAGGAAGAATTTCTTTACTGAGAGGGTTGTCAGGCATTAGAACAGGCTGCCCAGGGATGTGGTTGAGTCACCATCCCTGGAAGTATTTAAGAGACGACTAGATGTTGCATTGGGGGACATAGTTTAGTAGGTTGATAGGGCTGGGATAAAGGCTGGACTCGATGATCTTCAAGGTCTCTTCCAGCTGAAACTATTCTATGATTCAATGATTCTATGATTCAATGATTCTATGATTCTATGATTCTGTGATTCTGTGATCTGACAGCTGAAGAATTAGAAGATCAGTATAAGCAAGATAAAAGCAATGGGAAATAAATCATTACAGCTCTGTGCATGTGTGTGCACACTTTAAATTCGAAGCACTTACGATTATTAGGCATAGACAGAACAAGTTAACTTGTAGCCATTTGTCTTTACAAGAGCCCATGTTGATATGCAACTGCATGTTTTGCTGAGCCGCTGACAGCAATTAGGCGATTCTGAATGAGCCAAGAAGTCACTGACTGTGGATTTTATTTCTCTGTGTTTGTTGCTGTTGGTAGAAGGCAGAAGCTTAATATCATTTCAAGCTACAATGAAGTAGAATAAACTGTGCAGCTTTCCAGCTGCTGGCTGCTTATCCCTGTACTGTTTTCGAGATCTGCACAGTGCATATGAATGTTTTCTGGCTAGACAACAAACATGGTTTTTGCTGGACATTTACTCAGTTCCTCAAACTGTACCATGTTCCTGTGAATTAATGTTTCGGTTTTTTCTATCAGCTAAAGCTACCTCAGCTTTTTAACCTTCACTTGAAAAGAAACGCTGAAGTTAAGCTTGTTGTATTATCTCAGAAAGGAGCCAACAGACACCTACATATGACAAGTTGGAGAGCTCATATTGATTTGATAATAATATCCCATGCACTCCCAAACGTTAGGTTTTTTTAATAAAATGAGAAAATAGCCTTAAATTATCAGCTGTGGGGTTTTTTTGTTTTGATGAGGATGCACTACTCATTCTTAGAACTCATCCCAGATATGAAGAGCTTTGTCATTTTTAGAATTAATTAGAACATATAAATGTCCTTATATTTATGAAGAAAACAACTTTAAAATTCTTTTTAGAAAGATGTAAGAAAGGGCTTTATTTTAAATTAAAGTGAAGTAAAATTTAATGGCACGTTTCACATTTTGCAATGTGTTTATATTTGAAGTGTCTGCAAAGTTTCTTAAAAACCAAAGTAATCGTGTAAGTGGGTATAATTTAATTTGCAGGCTGCAGAGGTATAAATAATTTATATGCTACATATTGATAATGTTAAATCATCTCTGTGTAAACTAAGCTTTCAAAAATAATGTTCAACTCTTTAGCACAGTGGCAATAACAGATTTCTAACAGACGTAAATTTAAAGTAAGCCTACATTTGGTTGTATTCATACTTACTCTACAACACTCAGCTCTATAACAGAGCACCTTAAGAGGTGCTAATCACTGTGTATTTGATTTCCTTAGTCTGCTTCACTTGGTTCTTTCATTCTGAACCAACATATTAAAAATCTTAAAACCAAAGAAAATCCTATTTATGCGACACATTTTTTCCCTGTGTTTTTGTAATTGGATAGCTATAAAAATCTGTCCCTGCTAAAAGACATAATTTGTTCACAAGTTGTTCCTGTTGGTCTCTTGTTGCTTTTTCCAAGTGGCAGTACATAAAAATGTGTTACATTAGCACAGTTATGTATTTACCAAACGTGAAGCATAGCATTCTGTGAACAGATGTTTGGCTATCACCAAGACTGGTAGGTCTGTTTAGGCAGCGCTTTTGCAAACATCAGAAGTGGGACTGACTGTTCTGACACTCAGCTTCAATCCGTTAGGAGAGCATCTGAAATTACCTCCTGTATTTACATGACCTTACTTCAGCACTCTGTGCCATAAATTAGGTCAGGAATCCCAACTGCAGTGGGTTAAGTTTCTACATCATAATAGAGCAACCCAAAAGGTACTCTCTAGGGCTGTTTTTTTCACCAGCAGGGGAGAAAAGTCAGTAATTCTCAATTATGTGGCAGCAGTGGAGAGGCAAAATGTACGTTTCTGGGGAAGTGGTTAGCAATATATATTTTCACTGTAATAAAGACTGCACTGGCATAGTTTGCAGTTTTGTGCCAATGTGTACAGTTATTTGAAATATGATTCTGAGTTAAGAAGAGCGGAAAAGCTCCACTCGGTGCTCTGGTCGAGAAGATGACATTTCCTAATGCGTTAAATCATGCGTATCGCGTCTTTGAAAGCAGTGAATTAAACAAATACTTATGAAAGATGTCTTATCTCTTGCCCATGAACTAATAATACAAACTCTGGCTTATCTGTTTATGAATTATACAAACCATGCACCCCAGCAGCCTTACAATAAAACAGATAGGGTGATAACAGCAACAAAGCAAGCAAGGCCTGGGGTCCTGGCGCAAAGTTTGGAACTGGATCAAGGTTCCCAGAAAGCCCAGGAGATTTTTTAGACTTCAGTATTTTGATTTGACTCATTAAAGAGGTGGGAGCTGTATCTAATTACAGAGCACGGAACAGGCCTGTGAGCATCACGGACAAAATGGATCTTCTGTCTAGATTGGACTGACTGCCTGTGACACAGGCAAGAAATGTGAACCGAGAAAGGTTTTGGGACCGTGACCTGTGATGCCTGTGCCTAGAGCTTCACCGTTGGTTTTAACAGTTTATGTATTACTGCATATGAACTGAAGCCTCTTCTTCTTGATCCAGTGTTAGCTGCACTTAATTACAGTATGTGCAATGTATAATTCCCTTTTACAGCAACAACCCAGCTCACAGATACTACCTCGCAACTGACCCCGTGACAGGAGATTTGTACGTTTCTGACACAAACACACGCAGGATTTATCGGCCCAAGTCGCTCACAGGCATGAAAGACCTGACCAAAAATGCTGAGGTAATCGGAGGAACAGGGGAGCAGTGCCTACCATTTGATGAGGCAAGGTGTGGTGATGGAGGCAAGGCGGTGGAGGCAACTCTCATGAGCCCTAAAGGTAAAAAGAGTTATCCCTCCGTAACTTGCAAAATAATATGAAAGTTCAGAGCCGGGGGCGTGGTCGCGTTTAATTACTGAACCCAGCAGTTGGCTCAGAAATGTGGTTTTGAGTAATTTTTTGCAACTGGATAAGCCATTGAGGAAGAGAACTGCAGGGGACCCGGGTTGATTTTTTACGAAATATTTGGCTTGCATGGTTACTGAGAATTTTTAAATGCTCATTTAGATTATGTGTTTGGCAGGCAACGGTGAAGATATAAAATCAGCGTTTCCTTTGGCCCCACTTATCCCATGTTTCAGGTTAACTTAAAATGTAGACCCTTCTCAACACAGAAGAGCAAATGAGATCAACAGCAGATCTCATACTGAATATTGGTTCATTATGCAAAATATGTTTACAAGCTGTATTACTACCTACTGCCCAAGACCATATTTTCTGGCCTTAATTTCCACTAGATACGTACCACTTAATGCCCTTTGGTATGGATAATATATTTACTGCTAGTACAAAAGCCTGATTTTTATTCTCTTCACTAAAGGAATAGCGATCGACAAGAACGGATTAATCTACTTTGTTGATGGGACCATGATCAGAAAAGTGGATCAGAATGGAATAATATCCACTTTGCTTGGCTCCAACGACCTGACCTCAGCACGACCTCTAACCTGTGACACCAGCATGCACATCAGCCAGGTACTTTTTGGCTGCTGCTAATCTGGAAGACTGAGCTGAGGCTAGAAATGCAAATGCATCTTTCTTGCCCCTTAAAGCTAGGTGGAGTGCCTAAGGGATATTGAACAGCAGAATTTGGGGAGAAAGAAACCTGTTCCAAGGGCATGAATGACAGTGTAGTCTCTTAGTTATAAATGCCTCTGTCTTCAATTTTTTTGCCCATAAAGTTCAGTTCAGTTGGGAACAGCAAAACTATCAGCAGG